TTTTTTTTTTTTCAGCAATTTTTCTCTCATCTATTCATATTTATATATTTTTTAAAAAAAAAAAAATATATTGCATATATTTAAAGTTCCTTTTTTTTGCAGCGCAAATCAACCAGAAGATATGATAAGCAACGAAGGAAGGGTTCCAGACAAGGAACGAAGGGGGATTAGTTGAGGGGAAGCGGATGAAAATGAAGGGGATAAGAGGGAAGTAAAATGAAAAAGGAATAATAACTGCCTAAAGAATGACGTCAAAGTTTGGATATATTTGGAAAGTTATATGAGAGTCGTTGTGATGTATTTATTTGTCGATGTGATAATGATGGAATATAATTGCTGCATTGGTATTGTTGGCTGTGGAAAATTGTTGATACAACAATCTGTTTTTGGTAGACCTTTTTTTTTCAATGGCAAAATGAGAGGTGAGAATATGAAAGAAAAAAAAAGTTTATTTAACATCAATCTTCAGTTTCACCTTTCCTTTCTTTTTTTTTTGTTTGTACATTAAAATCACTAAAAAAATTTTTTTGATAGATGAAAAACAGTTTTAAATGTTCATTTTTTATTTTCAAATTTATGCTTAATTTTTGTGAAACGGAACTATTTCACCGAAATATAATTGACTGTTGCCTCTTTTAAAATTGTTCAGTAGGAACCGTACCTGCAAAACCTTTGTTAAATAATTGATGATCACCAGTTGTGTGCAAATTTTTTGGCACAACACTTTTTTGCTGTTTACCAATTTGAACTGTTTAACTTAAACAGTTACAATTCAATTGTTACTGTTAGCAATAACAGTTACTCTGCACTGATAATAAAAGATGATAAGAATTGAGCGATACAAAATTTGAGTTACTAAAAGTAAGGAAGAAAACTTGCTTTTTTGCAACTTTAATGTAGACGTACAATCGTTTTCCTGTTTCTTTATCGGTTATCTGTGTATTTTATGTCAAATAAACAATTTACAAACATTAAAAAAAAGTTTTTTTTTTAATCAAAAAGTATTTTTGGAAAAATTTATAAACTGATAGAATGGCAAACAAGGATAATTAATACAGACGACTTCAACAGCATTATTATTGGCATCATCATTCTGATCCAACAAACCAATGTTATCAGTTAAGCAATAAGTCAGTTAGTCATTTGGATTGGTTATGTAAACAAAGAGTAGAATTTGAGAGGAACAACAAAAAAAAAGAAAATGAATAAATATATTATATTTGATCTTAAATTTAATTCTTTTAGTGTTTTTGTTGTTCTCTGCTTCGACTGCTGACAACTGTTTCTCTTTTAGCCAAATAATTCACGCTGTGTACGACGTCGCCGTCTCTCACGTTGGAACGATTCTGGCCCATAGAGGTAATAGTAATACTCGTTGAGACGTGCCCAAAAGTCTGGTTCCGAAACCAGACGATTAACCTCGGTATCATCGTTTGGCAACATCAGTAAACCATTGTTTGCACGTACCTGATTCAGAATTTCCATCAAATTTTGGTAACGATTCTGTGGTGAAACTGTTGAGCTTCCACCACGTTTACCAAATAGTTCTCTACCTAAAATTTATCGACTGTAACGACAGCGCTCTTTCGCTTGTGCTTAAAACTAAAATTAAAAATAAAAATGGTTACTTTATTCTCACATTTCAGCTATGAACAAAAACATATCAACTGTATGTTAACAGGTGAACATAAAAAACAATACAACAATTTGTCTGTCAAAAAACTGTCCTCAAACAAATAAGTTAGTGACACTGTATAAGTTCACTGTCTCAGCATTATCGATATTGTTTTGCCTACTTCACAGTAATTTTAATAAAATAGAGCTCAGTTGTCGCTACAAATCAGAAATATTTCTTATACAGGTTATTCAAGCCAACTAATAGACTTTTCTTGTGTGTTCAGATGTACCGAAGATCCTATTTATGCTTCTTTCCAATTTTATTTGTTTTTTGTTTTTCTTTAAGTTCCTTCCTAAGACTACTGAATTCTAATAAACTTTTTGAAACTTTCAGTCAGAACTGTCTCAGTTCCCAGTGTCTAGCCGACTGTAGGAAATTGAGGTAAGGTGAGAAAAGGTAATGCAGTAATTGCTGCAACAACCAAAAAAAGAGGTTGAATAGGCGAGAAAGAAGAAGGATGGAGAAATAGACAGAAGCAGAAGATGAAATGACATTGTCAAGAGTTCCTTTCAGACTCTTCTTGTGGTTTCAAATGACAGTTTTTGCACCTCCAATAAATCACTCCTGTTTTGTCCATGGTTTATGATTCAAAGAAGACGAAGCGATGTAAGCAGTGAAAAAAAGTAGAAAACAAAAATTTCACAACAAAAAATGCATCATAAATTGAAGTCGGCGTTTTTTCTTCTTGTAAGATAACCGCAGGAAACGAAATAAAGTTGAAAAAAAAACAAACGAAGGAGACCAGAAAAGGCAATTTTGTATAAGGCTTTTGCCAACAATAACAACAGCTTTCTGTCTTGCTTAAAATTGCCAACTTTTCTAAATAATGCAGTAAACTTCTTTATGATGTGTTCAGTATTTTTCTCATCAAATCATATTGAAAAACTTTAGCTCAACAAATTAAAATATATTAGTTGAAAACCATAAAAATTGCGTTAATTGAACAATAAAGAAACCTCTGTAAGCGCTACGGCCAATACGGAAATACGGACGATGTCCCGATGCCCAATATTGCGGTTGACCGTCAATTTTTGGTTCCATATTTGCCACTTCCTTGGAATCGCTGCTGCCGTGGCCAAGCGACCAGGCACGAACAGCAGTAACTATTAACAAAAATAAGCAATAATGCTTCATAAATATCGTTTAGCCCCTAAAAAGACTTGGTTTCTTTTTTTTTTTTGTTGATGTAGAACAGGAACAGAAAGAATTTCTTTTCTTCTTCTCCTTCTTCTTCTTTCTGGTTTTCAGTTCTCTTGAATACAGCACATAATTACCAGAAGAAAGGCGGTGACAAGGATATATGACGTCTTCTGAATAAAATTTTAATCGATCTTATTTTACGGTGACACCGTTTCCCTATTAGTTCTAAGGATATTACATTTGCAGTAAGTTAGAATAAAGCTAAAAAATTTTCCAGCTCAGTACTGGTTTAGAGTCAAATAGAAATTAATTTTTTTATTTAAATTATTTATATAGATTTGATTAGGTGGAACTAACTAAACTATCAAAACACAAAAACACAACAACTTTAATCAAATTTAGCTAAAGAAAAGAAAAAAAAACAATTAACACTGATCAAAGAACAGCTCTTCAAATGTGTATAATCAGTTTGTTTCTTTATTATTTGGTATTAGCAGTGACAATCATAAGAAAGCAATAAATAGTTTAAGTGGACTTTGATTGTTGAGTTGATAAGTAAAAGTAAATTGGACTACAGAGGACAGCAGTATTTGTCTGGCTGAAAACTTTATATGACCTACTGACCGAAAATACAGAAACAACTAACACTGAATAAATCAGAATCTATCTGTTGAAAGAAAACAAACAAA